CCCCCCACCCACATAAACAAGCTGAAACACCACAAACCTCTCAGGTGACAACCCAAAAACAGGACGCAACAAAAACACACAATACAGAAACAGCTAGGTGAGTTTGTAATGTCGGAACAGCGTCTTAATCAACTAGTAGCTAACCAGTTAGCTTACATTAGCGTCGGAGAACGTCCAGCATCTAAAACACATGAACTAGTGCCCTCTGTGTTTTGTTTTGTTTTTTACATTAAACTTTCAAATCGAACATTTTATTAAATTTCATTACGTCGTGTCGTTTATTGTTGAGTAAACAGGTAATTTCTGAGCTAACCAGCGGGCTAACTTGGCAGCACAACTTACCTGCATAACAAGACGGAGTAAAAACAGCTTGATAGTTTAGTTTAAAATACCTTTAGCGGCGTTGTTCTTCTCAGACAAGCCTCTGGATCTGCAGACGGCCGATGCCAAATGTTTCTGAAATGTATTTCCTTCCAACTCGACCGGTCTTGTCTGGTGAAATGCAGGTGTTGACTGTCCGAGTCCACGTAGCTCAGATAGCTCAGCACCACTAGCTCTGGCCTTCAGCTACTTTCTGTTATCAACCTTGTTGAGCTATCGCGGATATTCTGTGCCTGTCAGTTCACTCAGCACAGTCTGACTGACTGTAAGCCTTGTTAGGACTCTTGGCAATCGCTCTCCCGCTATCTATTTAGAAGTGACACTGGCTTTCACATTATGTTCTCGGGGATACCAAAATAATCTGTGTCAAAACGGCGAGAGGAGGAAGGCCATCTTGTTGACAAGCAGCTGCACAGGGCCCGCAGCCAATAGGCGCGCAGATTCGGTGGTATGCCCTTATATGGAGTGCGCTCCACTCCCCTCCCTCTGCAGCCCCTCCCCATCCGAAACACCACATCAAAGGTCAAACTCTGAACATTTTCTCATCCCTTTATCATCTCGTACCTTTATCATCTCATACCTTTATCATCTCATACCTTTATCAGCTCATACCTTTATTATCTGCGTTTATTTCATTTCGAAAGACTCACCTACAGCACATTAATAAGAAGTTTAAAGGCATCTCTCTTTAAATTTAGCTTCCAAGCAGCCAGACTTTCTTGAAATATTTAAGTTTTTTTAAGTTTTCTGAAGTTTTTCTTAATTTTTTATTTTTAACATTTTATTTAGACTTTGGTTGCCCATTTTGCCACTTGATACTATCTGCTAAACCCAGCTTTAAAAGCATATAGGGATGATCATCTATTATTATTATTATTATTATTATTATTATTATTATTATTATTATTATTATTATTATTATTATTATTATTATTATTATTATTATTATTATTATTATTATCATTATTATACATTAAATAAAACTTATTCAAAGTTTTTTGTTATCTTCTCCATTTAAAAGGTGCTCACAGTCTTCCAAGATTTGCAGGTAATCTCTGTCATCTTTGCTTGTCTTATCTTATGTTTGACTCTAGGTTTTTGGAAAATTACTGCTGCTTAACAATAAATGTGACATCAAATGTTATAAATACAAAACACTGTAGCACATAAATTCTTGTGTTTGTGCTGTTGTGACATAATTATTAACAACTTACCAAACCCAAATGTCCTTGCTTTCATGTTTATATGCTTTGGAAAAAGGTCAGTTTTGTTCATTTTGCATTTTAAAACGACTGGATGGAGCGAAAGCTTAACGAACAACATGGTGTTGGTCCACTCCAGCAGAGGGCGACTGACATTTTATTGTGTGTACAAACTGTGTGCTTCAATACAATTTTATAAAAACACATGACTCTAGCTCTATGATTCTGTGACTCTTTTTTTTTTTTTTTTACAGAGAATACATTTCAAATGTTTAACATTTTATTTATTTTTCCTTACAAATTTTCTGTATTTATACTGACTAAAAACCAATGCATACATGTTAAAATTTTTGTTTTATATTTATTATCATTGTATTTGGATTTAAGGTAAATAAAAAAAATCAGTGAGTGTAGTTAAAAAACGTTATTATTTTAAACTAAATGAGTTCAAAGCTCACACATGCATTTTAGTATTTATACAAACATTTCCTTACATATTTTTGTCAGTATTTATTATCCATTCATTTCATTACATTGTACTGACTTATTTGTCTAGCACTGTATTTTTTAAATAAAATGATCAAAAATTTTAGCTTTGGATTAATCAAATTTGTTTGCTAGCTTGGTACAAACAACTCAAACTCCTATAACAAAAACACTTCAGATCACATACTGTGATGTGAAACAAAGTTTACTTTGAAAACAGCATAATGCCAGTATATTGTTCTGCATCATTCGTTTTTTTAAAATATAGCTTTTTTTAACATCCACATTTTTACACCTCTGCATTGCACTTATACATGTTAATACAACTAATTTTTATTTGCACCATTTCCCTTTATAGAAAATGCGCAATTTACATCAGAATCTGATGTCCTAATGTCCTAATTTATCAGAAATCAAAGAAAGAATCAACACTGTGGTCCAGTTTAGCACTTCACAACAGGAAACTCTCCTCACATCCTTTACCTCTGATTGGATCATTTTCATTTTTGGTCCGCCTTTTTCCTACTGTGATTGGTCAAGAAAGCTAAATATATTTCGTCATCAGTAATCTGTACTTCTATTGGTTACAACTAATCACGGTCCCATCTATTTTCTGCTGTGATTGGATGTTAGCCGAGACCGATCAACGTTCAACTTCCGGGTGTGGTGGGTCGTTGCAAAACCGCTCATGCTGGCAAAAGGACATCGATAAGTGGCTGGATAACGGGTCTTCTTAAGAAAAGTAAGTTACCCGCAGTGTTTAATCCACTTTAGGGTTTTTATTACAGACGTCCGAACCTTGGGTTTGAGGTTTTTTTTTTGGGATACTTTGTCAATTTCATTCATCTTGAGCAGCTGCAGCGCTAAACATTTCAAATGTCCAGCTGAGATGCAGGAGCTAACCCGATGAGCTAGTTAGCACTAGACTCGGGAATTATTGTTATCTTTAAAGTTTTCTAGTATATTTCTTATGGATATTACAAAATAACAAGTCACATGTCAGGAAACCTAAACAAATAAAGATGCACTCAATGTTATTTTAGTTCAGTAACACTTATAATTTTTTGATTAAATCAGTGTATTAGTTGTATTTAGTAAGTAAGTAAGTAAGTAAGTAAAGTTGTATTTATATAGCGCCTTTCATAGAATTAGATTCACAAGGTGCTAAACAATCAGAGGGAAATCTAAAAGATACACAATCAGAACAAGATATACAAAAATTTGGAACAAAACAGTGTAAAAGCTGTACAACCATCGAAGTATCAAGACAAAAATAAAACGAGTAGATAATATCTAGACAAAAATGGGGAGGGCAGAGTAAAACATTAACATATTAAGATGAAGGATTTTTAAATCAGAAGTTGATTTGGTGAGGCAGGTCTCCGAATGTGTATATTGTGGATTTAGTGACCATCTGATGTGTTTCTGTGTTTAAAGTGATGCTGTCAGAGGTGCTGCAGGTGTTGCGTGGAGCAGGTAAAGTGGGCTCAGCTCTGGTCTCCACCCAGGGAGAGCAGCTCCGACTGGTGGCCTGCAACTCCTCTCTGGGGGCCGGGGTCAAAGCTGCTCAGGACGTGGCGGAAGGACTGATGTCCACTTTTATGGGCAGCAAGAGCTCTGTGAGTTTTACTGAAAACTAAACGCACAATTAAATAACTGTTGAATACAACCACGAGTTACAATAAACACATTGTAACTGTTTTTGTGTCTAAAATAAGTGGTGTTTGTGTGTTTATAGTCGAAAAAAGAGGATGTGTTTCCGGACGCAGAGGGCTGGGAGAACATGGACCCTGATGATTTAGCCAAGTGGGCTGTGGGATCTGATCCCCCTCCTGATGCTGTGGAGCAAAATCAGACAGAACCTGGATCAGCTGGGAGGACGCACGCAGGTGACCGGTCCATGTTTAAAGTGCCCGTGACATAGAGTTTTAATAATAGTTATGAATGTGTTTTTGGGAAGACAACATTGATAAAATATTGTGAAAAAGATTTCATACCACTGCGATGAACAGTTGTTGAGATATTTGCATGTGAAGAAACAGGAAGTGATGTCAAACGTCTGCATGTAAACAAGAGTATTGCTACAATAATTAGAGAAGAATCTGTTTCTATAGATTATTTTGAGTCACTATGAAAAACAGACAAGAGTTAAAGATCAAATAATTTTGTGTTAATAAACAGAGACCTTTGAGTTTATTTTATTAATGAGTTCCCCTTTGATGTCACTTCCTGTTTCACTTTGGTTGAGCCAAATTCAAAAGAAAATAGGCCAGTTATGTGACAAAATGGGTAAAATCATGTGTACTATGACAATTTTCTCAAGTATAAAGATGCTTTCTTTGACTTTTTGTATTTGAAGGATAAGCATGTCACAGGCACTTTAAAGGGATCCACTATTAGTTGTAACATTAAACTTTATTTGATAAACATTTATTTTAATTGTAAAATAAAGACTGTAAAAATACTGTAGGCTGTTTAGTTTTGTGAATTTTTTAAAATATATTTTAACACGGACGGAGCCATTTTATTTACACACAAAGCATTCTGGGTAAATGCTGACATCAACTAGCTCATCGGTGCGAGGCTGCTAGCGATCTATATCCACCCTGAAGGTTAATCTTGGACAATATCTGATGATCGACTCTTTTAAATGAAACCAGAGAGYGTTGACAGAGAGGAGAAGGTAGAAATGACTCAGCCTATAACTGAAAATATAGATGGAGGACAACAGAGCTGCTTCATGGAAGAAGAACCTCAGCTTAGTCTGTTAGCCTTCGTGCTAGCACCGACGCTATATTGCCTTTTATGTATTAGCTCAGTGCTAGCGCAACAAACAAGTTAAACTGAGGTCCTCCATCCATATTTTCAGTTGCAGACTTGAGTCATTTTTGTGTTCCCCTCTCTTGTGGATGGAGGACCTCAGTGACGAGAGGAGAATGTGTAGCGCTGAGTTATTACATATACAGTATATGGAGATAGCATCGAAGCTAACGCTAAAGCTAACAGGCTAAGCTGAGGTTCTTCTTCCATGAAGCAGCTCTGTTGTCCTCCATCTATATTTTCAGTTCCAGGCTGAGTCATTTCTACCTTCTCCTCTCTGTCAACGCTCTCTGGTTTCATTTAAAAGAGTCAATCATCAGATATTGTCCAAGATTAACCTTCAGGGTGGATATAGCTCGCTAGCAGCCTCACACCGATGACCTAGTTGATGTCATCATTTACCCAGAATGCTTTGCGTGTAAATAATATGGCCCCGTCCGTGTAATATATTTTTAAACTTTTAGTTTAAAAATTATAAAAACTGAACATCCTACAGTATTTTTACAGTCTTTATTTTACAGTTAAAGTATATGTTTATCATATAAAGTCTAATGTTACAACTAATCGGGGATCCCTTTAAAGACTGAGTTGGTGCAGAATAACTAACATCAGTGTTTAATATAACTCTGTTTCATTCTTTTGATAGCTTTATTTCTCACTCTGTAACTCAAACTGAACACAGCTGTGTAAAGGAGGCTAAGAGAATCATTATTTTATTAGTTCTCACCTTTACCATGAAACACGACTCTCTTCTGTTTGGGATGCATTCTTATCCAGGGATGAGCACAAGGCAGACAGGTTGGCCAGGACAGCGCTTTCACATCCTGAACACAGGGCAGACAGGCTGGCCAGGACAGAGCTCTCGCGTCCTGCACACCGTGCCTCGTTGTCAGCACTTCTACCACCAGACCAGGTCCGTTCACAACCCCGCGGTGGCCAAACTCACAGCAGAGGACATGAAGAAAGCCAGAGAGGCGAAACAGGCCCTGGTTAAACCAGTGCGACAGAAGGTTTGTTTAATACATTCCCATCTATATTTTTTAATTATTTAAATTAGGTTGTAAAAAAAAACAAACAACAGAAATACAATTTGGCAGATGAGTTCAGGAAGGAGTTCCTACAGACTGCAATGTTTGCGGTTGATATTGTGATCTGATACGCTCACCTGTGTCACCAGGATCACCTGTTTAACACTTGTTAATACTGTACCAATAGATAAGCAGTTGACAGCAACTCTACATTTTGTCATCTGATGAGAACAACCTGCTGAAGTTAAAACTGAGCATCAGAGCAGAGAGGAGAAGGTATTTATGTTATTTGTATAGTTGGTCTTATAAACCGTGTTTCCATCCAGTTGTAGAGTGAATTTTTATCAAACTTTTCAAAATTCGCAAAAAATTAAAACAAATAAAAATTCGAATCTAGACCGTTTCCATCTAGTTTCCCTCTCGACTGTTTGATGCAAATAAACGAGGCTACGCACCGCATGATTACGTCAGACGTCGGCGACAAGCTTTGCGGTAGTAAACAGGAAGTGAAACTTGCTAACTAGCAGAGGCTAATCATCTCGGGACAATGGAGCGATTTTTTTCGTGAATGCATTGCTGTTGGGCAAGTTGTAATTATTCTATCTATTCAGCTAGTACAGGCTGTGTTTAACGCTGCCAGGAGACGTAGGGAAATAAACGCAATGTTAAACTACGCAGCAGAAAGGCACGTGCAACTACGCCAGGACGAGGCAGGAAAGTGGAAACAGCTGAATTTCACATTAGGTAAATGTGCGCTATGTCAGAATTTATTCGGCAAACGTGTTTCCATCTCCTGTTTTGCACATTAACTACTTTGCGAATCATCCAAAAACCATCTCAAGCGAGCGTAAAAACTTTTTAGCGAATTGAGGATATTTTTTTCGAATTTTGCTGTTTCCGTCCGACTTTTTTTTGCATTTTTAATGCGACACTTCTAAATGCGCATCAAAAAGCATTGATGGAAACACGGTTATAGATAACCGTCTCTGGTAGGGTTGGGACGTTTTATTTATTTATTTTTCTTTTTCATACCAACATTATTTTTAGATAGTACCACAGTATCTGGTGTTACTGTGGCGTGGTCTTTCTCCCGCTCTCGCTGTCTCTCCATCGCTGCCAGACTTCATTCAACTTTTGCGTCTTTTTAGTTTCTTTTTTCATATAGTTTCTTTTGGCACTTGGTCAGATAACTTTGGGCCTCGGTCAGAAGGGAGGTCGGAGGGAGTTCATGTTTTTATAGCTGCAGAGACGTCTGAGTTTTTTCCACGAGACTACCGTGTTTTCATTCTGCCTGTCGCTGCAACGCGCATCAAATTGTCAGCACAGCTAGGGCTGCAACTAACGATTATTATGATTATTGTTCGATTATTTTTTTTCAATGAATCTGAAAACAAAAAAATATATAATAATTTTGATCTCTTTATTCCAAAATAAAAAATTTGGACTGACATAGCAAATCACACAAAACGGAGAATTTGAGAATTCTGTTACTATAATATTAAGTTGTACTGTACTACATAAATAAGTAAATATTTGTCAGTTAGCTTCAGTAAATAATGGAATGTAAAAAATGTGTTCAATATCCTTGAAAGTTTCTTCGTATTTTCTCTCCATGAGTTTTGTAAAATGTGTCCTTGAGGGAAGAGTGTAACCTGAAATAAAAATATGATATTGAAGTCTTTATGTTTGACCGTGGACAGTCTCATGTCAGAGACGATCATGTTAAGAAGACTTTCAGTCCAGACAGCTGCTTATTGCAATAAATCAATAACTGCCTGGTTTTATTTGCACTATTAGGTTAAGGCAAATGTCTTCGCACAGACATTGTCGGTAATTAAAACTTAAAGCTTAATCATTAAATTAATACCATCATAAATCACCCGACACAAAAAATCCATAATGAGATTTGTTGCTAACACTTTTAATAATCAATTTTTAGTGATTTTATTGATTCATTGTTGCAGCCCTAAACACGGCAGCTCAGTGGTTAGCACTGATGCCTCACAGCAAGAAGGTCCTGGGTTCAATTCCCAGTTCAGACCTGGGGTCTTTCTCTGCTGAGTTTGGATGCTCTCCTCATGCTTGTGTGTGTTTTCACCGGGTACTCCAATTTCCTCTCACAGACCAAGAACATGTACTGGTTGCCTGCAGGCCCAGACCTGCCTTGAAAAAGAAATCCAAGTCATCTCCAGATGAAAATAAGTCTGCCTGAAGTGATGACACATGAAAACTGGTCTCTTAACTTTTTTCAGCTGAGTGACCGCGCCAAAGAGAGGAAGGTTCCTGCCACACGAATCAGCCGCCTGGTGAATTTTGGAGGTAAAAACACGGTGTTTGTTTTTGTAAAGGTTTTATATTTTTGCCACATGTTTATAAAAGAATGGATCACGGCAATCTTACCCCGGATTAACACTGCGTCCACTCTGCTCCGCTGCGGCACAAACTCTGCAGTAAAACCGCGCCCTTCATAGTTGATTAGAGCTTATTTACTTTGTTTATTTATTACATCTGCCGAGCAGCAGCAAAATTCCACTTGATTCTATGTTTGCCAGATTCCGGTGCAAGTACAGACAGGCCGAGCACAGCATCCATGTTTTGATAATAATTCAGCAGACAAACTGCATTTTCTCCAAATCCTAGCTAACAAATATATGGGTAGTTTATACATATACTCACAAAATGTATCATTTATATCTATGCATGCATACATAATACAAAGAAAAGATGAATCGTGATGCTGTTTTAACTGTTGTTTGAGTTCAAAACTTCTCAGAGCACCTCTGACAGACGCAGTGTGATCTGGGGGTTCGACCTCTTTCAGATGAGCAAAATGTATTTCAAAAAGGATCTGTAAAAGAGTTCTACATCCATTGTGGTTGGTTAATGCTTGTTGTAGACACTATCTGGACAAACTTAGGTCGTATTCAGACCTGATAATTTGCTCCGCTTTAAACAAACCAGAGTTCGTTTCCAGCATTGGTCCGGACCTTTTGTGCAGGTGTGAATACACTCATGCGAACTCTGGTGCGGATCAAACAACCGGACCAAGACCTGCTTTTTGAGGTGGTCTCGGTCCGCTTCCAAACGAACTCTGGTGCGGTTCACTTTAGTTCTCTTCTGGTGTGAATACAGACCGGACTCTAACCGAACTAACYGCATTAAACATGCACCTTTTTGGACTTCACAGGCCACCGTTGCTGAGCTAAATAAAATGAAATCATACCTGTTTCGTTGTCTCCTGTTAGCAACTCTGCTGCCGGCATGTTGTGGGTCAGATCATGCAGAGCACCTCGTCTCCTTTGGGTTGCGGGACACATTTACATGACGTCGCTCCAAAATTAGAATATCATCATGAAACCACCATTAGATTAGCTGCTTCTGACATTTTAAATGCTATTGCAGTTGTACTATCAGCAAAAATGTGCACATCAGAACCGCAGCATGCAGTACTTCCTTGTTTTTTTTTTTCTGGGTCTGTGGCTCAGTCCCGCCCCCCGTCCTTTTTTGTCCAGTGGGAGCAATGATCGTCAGCCGCATGGCTTTGTTTACAACTTATAGTTCATTTTGGGGAAAAAAAGCACAATGTGAATGCAAACTGCATCAAACAAAAAAAAAATAAAGTCCACTTTTGGTCCGGACCAAACAAGTGGACCAAAGGACTTTCCTGGTCTGAATACACCCTTAGTTTCTCTCTAATGATCTTTAGTGTGATAAAGATGAGACAAAGCAGTTCAACATGAAACATGCTACATGCTATTTGAGCATCCATTCATTAAAGAAAAGTGAAGCTAAAAACTTTGTTTTTATTTAGTATTTTAAATATACTGAAAAATCTAACAAGGATATGGAAGTTTTTAGTGTAGAAGATGGTTTTGTGCCCTTTATTATTAATACTGTTTATTAAATATATATATAAAGGCAGAGTAAACTATTATTACACTGACACTGACAGGCCAGCTTGTGTTGCAGCAAAGACAAATACTATTACATTTTCCAAGAACCAGAACATAAAAGTACCCAAAAATTAATCAGAATACGGCAAATTAAAAACAATCTTCAAACAGATCATGGTCTGTGACAACATGATTTTTTCCTGCATGTTTTAAACCCCTGAAGTTCAGCTCCTGTCTCTGCTGCAGGACTGGCAGTAGGCCTGGGGATCGGTGCCATCGCAGAAGTGGCCAAACAGTCACTAGGAGGCAAACAAAAAGGAGGTAAAGATCATGTCTCTGCCCTGCTTCCAGCTGATAAAAAGAATAGCTGCTGGATCCTGAGAGGTTTCTGATCAGACATTAAAAACAAGAGAAAAATTCTGCTTTTTCTAATAAAACCATATTTTAAAGAAATCCAGAATATTTTCATGCATTTTAAATGAATCTTACCTGCTGTAATTTAACCCTGTGTGTGTGTTGTGCAGACATGCCCGCCCTCCTGGACTCCCCCTTCCTGTCGGAGGCCAACGCTGAGAGAATCGTCAACACTCTGTGTAAGGTTCGTGGAGCGGCTCTCAAGATCGGACAGATGCTCAGCATCCAAGGTCTGCTCTGTTCCTTCACTGGGGAGCCATGCTCAAGAGTTCCTGGCCAGTTGTCTTACATTTTTCCCTCCTCAGATAACTCCTTCATCAACCCCCAGCTGCAGAAGATCTTTGAGAGGGTGCGTCAGAGTGCAGACTTCATGCCCACCTGGCAGATGATTGTAAGTCCAGTCACTCGCACAGACCTCCTGTAAGGGATGTCAGATGCTGAGATGTGTTTGTGATTGAACAGAGGGTGCTGCAGGAAGACCTCGGTCCAGACTGGAGGGACAAGCTGTCCTCCTTTGAGGAAAAACCTTTTGCTGCAGCTTCCATCGGCCAGGTGCATCATGGGGTTTTGAAAGATGGAAGAGAGATTGCCTTGAAGATCCAGGTAGGAGAGGATTCACACACAAACACACACGTTGGGTTTTTGCTATCTTCATGGGACCTTTGCATTGACTTCCATTCATTTTTTTATATATTTCTACAACATAATCCTGACCCTTACTTTAAACCTAACCTCCCTGATATAACACACACCTTAGTCGTAAAGCTAACCTCTAACCTAAAAATGGTCTTTCAGCATATTAGGACCAGACTTTGGTCCCCAAAAGAACTACTGGTCTTGACAGGGTAGGTGTTTAATCCAGAAATGGTCCTAAAAAGGTAACAAAAACCAGGTACACCCTAGAGCTGCAATGTGTCAGGAAAACCTGCGATAATGGTGCTTAAAATTGCAAAGACACTATATAAACCTGCAATATCTGAACAAATACTTCAGTATGCAGTGCTGATGTCTTTCTGCTCTGGGTTCAGAGCAAGAAAAACCCTAATACATAATTTTCTTTCTAACATGACAGATTTACTTTTAAAAACTAGACACAGCAGCTGTATTAGTAGTGAGACAATAAACTGCATGCAGAACAGTTTAATGACCTTAAAACATCACTCTTATAAAACATTTTTTCATGCTCTAAATACTGTAAAAAAAAAGGCTCCTTACTGTGAGTTTTTTAAATAAATAATAAAACGACATTTTAAAATTTTAAACAAAAGTTAACAAATTTAAATCTAAGTTGTCCAACATTGACTCCACTGACCAGGTGGTTATGATTTGATGTGAGATCTCTACAGTTTGTTTATCAGACTGATGATAAGAAAACACATAAATATAAACATTTCAGCCAAATATTTGTTGCAGTTTATGCAGGTCTTTGCAATATGCCTATTGCACAGGCTGGTATCGCTTTGTTGATAAATTTGTGATATATTGTGCAGCCCCAGCACACACACACACACACACACACACACACACACACACACACACACACACACGAGGGGGGAGGGGTCGGCTCTGTTGAGACCACAATACAGCGAGGATCAAGGGTCATCCAGCCAGCCAATCAGGGGTCTGTCTGTGTTAGTCAGTGAAAGAGAAGCCCCCCCCCCCTTTGTGTTGGCGGTCAGGGTGGGTCTGCTGTACAGGCAGCTCCGTTTCCAGATCCGCTCCTGTCCTCAGACGTGCTGGGTTCTCTCTGGACCCCCCCCCCCGGCCTGGACCCATCGTAACCGATCAGGCTCCTGTCCGGCGCAGGCAGAACCCTCCACAGCTTTATAACCCGTTTATAATGTCTGTGGAGCCAGATGCTTCCTGGTGAAGACCGAGGAGCATAAAAAAGTTGCGACGAACAATAAAACCTGTTGGGCGTGCTCTCTGAGTCCACGGGAACGTGGCTGATCTTCTTCAGAGGCAGTTAGTCTGTGCTGTCTCCACGTTGCTCCTGTTTACGCTGCTGTTCTGTTTGCGTGGGCGATCTTATCCGAGGCTAGGCGCTCTTTCACACATCTTACTGTAAGATTAATTAAGGACGACAGAGGAATTAAAGGCCCAGCATTTGTTGAAGGAGTACGAATCACACGTTGCCTTTCATGCCAGACTTTCAGACTAAGATCATTTTGTGACGGGAATGAACAGACTTACACATGTTTGGGTCCAAATGTGTGAACGATGTTAGGAGCAATCTCATGCAAAACCTCGCAAAGTTTCAACATACAGTATGTGCTGGGAATAGTTCCAGCTCAGGTTTTAGCTTCCCATGTGTAAAATGGACTCAGTTGAAGGAATTTTTGGAATAACTCTGGCTGTCATCTTGACTTAGGGTGACTCCAAAAGTTAATAAGTTGTATATGCAGACCCAATGATACAGACCATATCGCCCACTTTTCGCCTTCGATGGCAGGCGATAATAAAATAAGATTTAAAGGGCCCGTGGCATCAGTTTTTTGTAATAAACATGAAGGCTGTTTTGAAAAGAGAATATTGATAAAATATTGCAAATTAAATTTCACGCCACTGAGATGAACAGTTGTTGAGATATTTGCATGTGAAGAAACAGGAAGTGATGTCAAAGGGGAATGTCAGCATGTGAACAGAGGGTTGTTACAACAGCTGACAACCCAGACTGTAGAGAAGAATCTGATGTTTCTTTATATTATTTAGAGTTTCTATCAGAGAGATGAAGAAGAGTTAAAGTTTAAATAATATGATTTTAATAAACAAAAACCAGAGAGATTATTTTCTTAAAGAGTTCACCTTTGATGTCACTTCCTGTTTCACTTTGAGCCAAATCCAAAATAAAATAGGCCAGTTATGAGACAAAAATGTGTAAAATCATGTGTATTAGGTCAATTTTCTTAAGAATAAAGATAGGTTCTTTGACTTTTTGTATTTGAAGGATAGGCATATCACAGGCACTTTAAATTATTAAAGAAAACAGGCCAAAAGAAAAGGGAAGGAAAGATGAGTGGAGGAAGAGGAGGTGCTCAGTTTGAGGTAACGTAATAAAAAATAAAAAGAGACAGGAAGAACGACTGATCTTAAAGAAAACAAAGTAAAATGATGTGACGGAGCAAACAGGAGGGTTAAAAGTGAGACTCGGGCAGCAGGTTGTCTTTAATCTGACTCTCTGTTTCTCATCACCACAGATTAAATGTCCACATCTTCTGACATTTACTTTAACGTCAGTTTCTATCCTGCTTTCTCTTCAAACACACACACTGACTGTGCTGTCTTCTACCCCAGTGCCTCAGTATGTGCTGAGTAGACTTATCTGTTTTCTGCAGGCCAGATAAATGAAGCACTTTAGTGGTATTGTTATATTTCTGCTCACTTTAATGGCTCGCTGCTCGCTGTGCTCAGACAGCCATATTGGAATGTGTCCATGTCCTGCTTGTGCATGTTTTGTGCTCTGGGCAAGTGTTTACGGCAGGATTTAAAAAAAAAATTTTTTTTGAATTGATAAATGATTTGTGCGGTGGATTTGAAGTGGACAGTCATGTGTGAAGGAAGCAATTTATGTTGTGCAAAGAAAGGTGGTCGGATGGTGTGAGCGTTTGAGCGACTGTTTCCCAGACCGTCAGCGTCGTACGGCTTCTCCTGGCTGCAAACAACAAAGTGAGAACGGGGTGCATCTTTAAAAAAAAACGTGGGTAATTTCTCATCATGACCTGTTTTAACTTGGCTTATGTTGATGTTGAGAAACAACAAAAACAGTTAGCTGAACCTTATTCTGTTTTACATCTAAAACTTAACTGCAAAAAAAAACTTTTACAGGCTTTTATCAACTTTTCTTCAAGCTTTGAGTCAGTTTTTGCATCACAGGATGCCTTAAATGATGCTAGCACCCATAATAAGTGTCTTATCTGTCACAGATCAGGCATTCAGTTTAGAAAGTGTTGTCGCCATCTTGAGCCGTGATGATTTTAAAACTGAATCAGTTGTAGACGTATATCCAGTAACTCGTTTTGTAGTGTTTTTAATAAAGATCTTGTGTGATCTGATAGAACTCAATGTATGGGCTGGAGATGACGCTCAGCTACTACCACACAACTTTTAGCTCAACATTTGTGAAAAAGACTGAGTTTTCTTATATTTAGAAATCAGGCTGACTTTCTAATTTTCTAACACCGTGGTACATTGTAGCTTGAAACCAATAATCAGCTCAGGAATAATTCAACTGTTAAACAGTTTTTGTCATTCTGCTAACAGACAGACCTTAATGCTATTTAACCATTCATCATTTAAACACAGATTTGTGGAAAATAAAAGTGGACAATGTTTCTAAAATGACTCTTATCTGTTTTATAACTTTGGTCTTAATGTGACATTGCTGTATAAACCCACATGTTGTCAAACGTGCTGAGGAAATACCAGATTCTGTCACTGTTCTTGACTAAAAGGCCAGATGTTAACAGAGTGATTAAATAACCTGACGATGATGATGATGAAGATGTAAACATAAAGTCCAGCGACAAAAATTATGAGTGTTTGAACCATTCTTGTATGGTTGTGTTGTGTGTGTGGGCACTCAGGAGAAGTGTCTTTTAGGGATCACATTTTGAGACTTGAAGTGGGCTCTGCAGAGACCCGGCACTCAGTTTCAGTAGACTAGATCCACAGTCCCCAAGAGGCTGTTATCCTCTCATTTCATTCAACTATCTCCATCTCCGTCCAGCCATTTGGTGTTTGCTTTAAAGCTTTGTCCTTTCTGCACTTAGCGTTGCTGTGCTCTAGTTGAACATCTGAAACAAACCAAATGTATGAACTGCGTTTATTTAGCTTTATTCGGCTTTAAAGGTGACAAATCACAAAAGACGTTTTTAGTCCTTAAGTACATTTTATTGTGTACTTGTATTCTCTAGGTGTGCTGAAACTTTGAAATGAGTTTTTCTTGGTGCTGCTTTGATATCTTTATATTCTGTTTAGCTCATAATTTTCAGTCCGTTCAGATTTCTCTATTCTATATTACGTTTTCCGAATCATTATGTCACAGTATTAGCTAAACAAGGAGATAGATATCTTACCAAGTTTGCGAATCTGTGGTTCTGCAAGTTTGTCGCTCTGGGTCCAACATGTAAGACTGGATGAACAAGTCTTCTCTTGTTGACATCTTTTAATTAATTTGTAAATAAAACATTTCAATGTTGAAGATAAATGCCTGGAAAAGGGTGGAGTGGACAGTGGTCAGTGGGAGTGAGACCTAAGGGGTGGGGGGCAGGGTGTGAAGTGCTTCATTTAAAGAGACAGCATCAAAAAGAGTTGATCTGAGACACACCTCAGAACAGGGGTGAACGAGGGGCTTGTGGAGGAATTCAGACCAAAGCATTGCAGTTCCACTTTATATAGACCCCAACTGAAGGTTTTAAATGTGAAAAGGAAGGATTTTAAAGCATATGTCTCGTTTAACTTGAGCCTGTTCACTGCCATTTCAATGCTCTTGCAGCAGTTAAACCAGTCTGTAGAACAGGGGCGGGCAATCCTGGTCCTCGAGGGCCGCAGCCCAGCAGGTTTGATGGTTTTCCCTGCTCCAACACACCTGATTCAGACATTGA